ATTCTTCTTTTTTTTTCAGCAGGAGAACTTATTGAGAGTAGCTGAGGCAATATGGACCTCAACGTCCCCACAGTAAAAAAAAATAAGAACAGAACAGAAGTACTTCCCACCCCTTCGAGCCAGATGCATTCTCGTGGTTACCTGAGAATTAGACCAGAAGTCATTAGGGCACTATAGACGATGACTCGGCAGCATGAGACCTTAGTGTTTCCCGTATGCACGCAAGAAGACAGGAAAATTACTACTGGCCACAATTTGCCACTAATGCGACTCGTTACGTTAGGACATGTCTAGACTGTTAAGGACAAAAGACACCGCCGCCAATAACCACACGCTCCCTTCTGCTGATCGAACCACCCCACCGACGGTTCCGAAAAATCAGAATCGACCTACTAGGGCCATTTTCCGAGTGTACTTGCGGGAATAAGTGGATCGTTGTTGCCACCGACTACCTCACTCGCTACGCCGAAACAAGGGCTCTACCTAGAGGCAGTGCTATCGAAGTAGCGAAGTTCAATAAATACATCGTCCTTCGTCATGGAGAACCAGATGTACTCATCACTCACAGAGGTATGGTTTTCACTGCTGAGTGAACTATGGCAATCCTTGTATACACCAAGGCAAGCCACTTGCAGGATGACAACGTGCCGCACACAGACCAATAGCCTCTTCAAGAAGTTAAACAATACAATCGGGGACATCTTGGTCTTGTAAATCGATGTGGAAACCAAGACGTGAGTGAAATTCAGGTTCTTTTCGATGTTCTGCAAATCCACTCTCCCCCCTGTGCACCCGAGACGCACTACCCGCGTTGGGATAGCAAACTGGGAGAATAAACGTACTTTCCTATGCAAATAGCGGCGATTGACTTGCTGGTCGCTTGAAGATGATGAAGAAAAACTGGAGAAGTTGTAGTAGGCTAATAAACTCTTGCATTTACATACTGTACAGAATTTACATGTGTATGAGCATAAAAGTTACAAAAAGGAAACACTTTGGAATTGAACCGTCTTCTGTAGGGTGACCGTACGAAATTCGGCAAAACTGTTGGTGCGTGACACCGCAATCCCAGTTCAGAACGCTTGGTGGAACTTCTAGGCCTCTTCTTATTCCCCGGTGCTTCGCCCTTACACAACTCTCGGCGACCCGTCACCTGTTTCTCTTTTGATAGGACACTACAATTGATCAATAAAAATTTTGCCACAAAGACCCCACCTTCGTGCACGTAAGGGCTCGAAATAACACAACAACCAAAATGTAAATAAAACCAAACGAGAAAAAGTCATGGAGGCATAGCCAAGCTTTGCAGTGCACAATTATCTAGACTTGGAGTACACGTTGTGGGCTTTGTGGCCATAGCACGGCTTCCCTAAAACAACGTCGACACACTTGTCAACAGGGAAATTGTTCACCTCTCCCATGTGCGCTGTAAGAGGAACCACTTGCTGACCACATTTGGTTCTACTTACGAGCTAATTTTCAAGGATTTAGCGCGGTAGCAGCCGAAGACATGCCAATGTGACAATACGCACGAAGTGTATTGTCACATTTATTGTCACGTATTGCAAGCTCACCTGCTTCCGAGAGCTATTTCACCAGACCGGAACGAAATATTCATTGTGATTCAAGTGGTTTAATCACGCACATCGCCATACGCAGCGTCGCCTTGTAAGCACACGAACAGCATGCAGCTGGGCCACAGCCGAACCGAAGTGAGGAGTCACTTCGCCGCGCTGCGTCTCCGAAGAGGCCCACTGGGGCGCTGTCTGCGATTGCCGTGAGGAAATAAGGGGTCATCACTATGAAGATTCCAATCCTACCCCTTTTGTCGCCCCCGTGAGAGTTGGTTTCTTTTTTTTAAGTTAACAGGATCTCAAAACGCTTCGTAATCTCAGGTGCGTACATGGCCGTGTCTATGTAGTCAGGGCTAATCCGGACGAACATGCTTTGACTGAGGGCCACTAAAGCAATCCTGTGTGCCGCAGTGAATGACTGATATGCCTCTCCAAGCTTATGGCACAACTTAAATAAAAGTAAACAAAATCTGCTGCGCAACCACATCTTACCGCGTTTCTACAATATGGGACATCATTCTTTTGTACGGGACCTTCATGTTCAACGTGGCGATGCAGGCGATGTCATCGACACATGTTGGTCTACGGAAGAAACCCGGCGTTGATGCTCGACGTCATGCTACCAAACGTCGCTGACGAAGAATACTTCGACGTGACTGTCTACCTTCAACGCGCAGAAGCACGAGAATTCGGGCGCGTCCACCTCAAGAATCAACAGACAATCGACAGCTGCCGTTCTAATCTTCCACGACACTTCGCACAATACCAGCCCTGTGACCGCGTTTGGGTACTGACACCGAAACATTGACGTGGTCTCAGTGAAAAACTTCTGTGATGCTACTTCAGACCATACCGGCTAGTTCGACGTCTCGGCACACTCGACTACCAGGTTGCTCCTGACGGCATCATGAACTTTTAACGATGGCATATGTGACCTGAAATATTTCATTTCGTGCGCCTCAAGCCGTTTTATGCGCGTTAAGGAGAAATGTGAGTCGAAAAACACGAGTTTTTTTCAACATTACCGATTTTTTGTTTTAGCCTGTTTTGTTAAGATTCGTACCTCTACTGTTATGAAAAAAATAATACAGGTCGTGACTTAACTGGAAATGCTTTAAAATTCCATCTAAACAGCACAAAGTGCCTGTTAAAAGGTCGAAAGTGCGAAGCCTTCGAGCACCTTGCCACCGATAATGCGCCGCCGCTCGCCATTGTCGATCGCATGAGTCGAAGAGTCGAGCCTCACCCTTCAAGTACCGACAGTTTCTCTCGCTGATGCAGCGCAATAAATATTGAAAAGACGCACTATTCTGGGTGTTTTTCGATCGCCGCGACTGGCTTATCTCATATTACGAATCGGGGACCACCATTGGCCGCTGCGCGCCTGTATGTTCTGTGAAACCAATTTATGGGGTCCATGTCAAGACATGCACCCCGCAAGGAGCTGAGCAGCGCAGCTAAACAATGCTTTTCTCGTGTAATTATCTCTGTTATGAATGAAAAATGGCATTGCTGGCAAGTGAAAGCCATTGTGCGGCATGCTCTGTAGGATTAGGCTACGAGCAGCTGGTCTGATTTGCGGCAGTTGTTGGCTTGCAAAAGCCAATACATCAAAAGTCATTCACACCCGTCAGCCGGAAAGTTTGTGATGCGGCAATAGATGATGTCAGCGCAAATCTTGAGAGGTCGAAAGAGCTGGCAGTGAGACAACTTAGCAAGGACGATATTGCCATTATGTACGACAGTATGTGGCACAAGCATGGCTGCAAAATGACATGACACTGGACTTAGCTTGGATTTCGCAGTCCTGTCGAACTTCTTTCTAGCTTGCAGTTTCACAAGGCTCTGCCAGATGGAGCGGAAGTTTGGCAAGCGTTTCATGGCCCTGTCTGTGAGCGAAATGTCAGTAAGGAGTCGGCTCGAAATAGCCGAGAGGGACAAACTAATGGTGCTGGCGTATTTTAGTCGCAGTGGCCACTACAAGCAATATTGTTCTTTTTGGTGTGCAAATTTCTGCTGATTTATTGATACCTTTCATAAATAAAAACTCAATTTAACTTGAAAATTCGCTTTTCTCAAAACACAAATTTTGCTATTTTTTCATTGTGCCCCTCCTTTTCGGGCAATTCTAGGTCTCGGATCTGCATGAAATTTTGCCCAAATGTTTTCCAAAGCATGAGTAACGGAATTATATAGTTTAAGTTTCAATATTTTATTGTATAATACAAAATTATGTATGCCTTTTCTAGGGTAGGTGAAATATGGACTTTTTACGTGTAATATTTTTCACACATATTAAAAATTAATAATTTTTATTGGTTATTTGCACTCTCCACTTAAGTTGAAGCATTATGAGCGATGAATGGTAAAAAACTACAGAAGTTTAGGGATGAAAAGAGGGGGGGGGCAAGAGAGTTAGGGTTTTCACTTTGTCATGTTGCACAGCTAAAAGTGAGTAACTTGCAAGAAAATTAATTATATATTTGAAATCAGCATAAAAAGTTCCATAAACAGCTCAAGTTTTATTGCTCTAGGGTGAATATTAAAAATAAGTGTCTTCGAGTAGCATCTCTGCTTAACAAACTTGAAGACTTTATTGGTATTTTTCTATTATTGTGTTTTGTTTATGTACCTATTTTTATTATGGCTTTTTCTTGCTTTACTGCTGTTATTTTTGTCGTTCATGGATTTTCTGTGGTGTCCTATGCTATGCATCGGGACAATGCTCTTGCACAGGGTGGCAACGCTACGCGCGTTCCCTATGTTTGATTCGGTTATCGCAGGTCATGGGTTCAAGTCCCGGCTGCGGCGGCTGCATTTCCGATAGAATCGGAAATGTCGTAGGCCCGTGTGCTCAGATTTGGGTGCACGTTAACGAACCCCAGGTGGTCGGAATTTTCGAAGCCCTCCACTACGGCGTCTCTCATAATCATATGGCGGTTTTGGGACATTAAACGCTACATATCAATCAATGATTCGGTTTCGCTCTCAAAGCTTGTCTGTAATGCTCTGTGAAAACTTTGCCTCATCGTTCTAGAAGGTTCACAATTTTTGTATATTGTTTCGTTAAGATGGTGCACATGAAGCGAACACTTGGGATTATTTCATGCGCGAAGAGTAGTCATAAAGCTGGATTATTCGACGGCACGTGCATATATAAATGCAAACGCACTTCTCCGCTTGTCAGTTTATCAACCGCCGACGCTCTGTTCGCCGCTAAGAGTAGCAGTGTCTTGTTCTAATCGGAATTTCCTTTTACGTGACCACTAGTTTGGCCCGATAAGCAGTTTAACCTGAACATCCAGTCTGCCTCTTTTTTCACGTCATGACCCCGTTACATTATATAAATGCTTATCTCAACTCGGAACGACCTTTTTTTTTGCCTTCAAATAAACGATACCTTTGTCTTCTCCCTAACATAAACAGCATATTTAGCCTCGTGGGTGACCTCTTCGACCTTGAAGGAGTACTAAAGAGACCATGGGATTCCAACTCGATGTCACAGATTTTGGCTTGCTCGGCTCTCGTCAAAGTAGTGGGCGACTTCGAAGACGTGTACATCTCTCACGACGCCTGGTTCCTGTACCGAGGGATGCTGCGAATACAGAAGCACTGCATCTTTCCCTGGCACCGCGCGGCTCACCAGAAAGGTGCAGGTAAGCAGGAAAAAACAGATTTTATTGAGCCGGAACATGCAAACAATTTATGTGAGGCTCTCTGGTTTATATTTCTATTGCTTTTTACTTCTGTGACCTGTCGATTTGACAAAAACGTAATCGCAGTTGTGAATCTTTGGACAATTGACAGACAATAAAACTTTGGACGATAGTATGCTCGCACTAAGGCTAATATGACAAAATTGGGTTCGCAATTGCTGTTGCAATGCATTACTCTATTAAATGCGGAAGAACAAAATGTTCAGCAAAGGTCACAATTGACTATCATCGTTGAAGCTTACATCTCGCGTTTGTTCTCAGCTTGGCTGTTCGTTTCTTCGTTAAATGCAAGCTTTGAAATAGCGGCAGGTCCATTGTATGACGTGAATGCTTGAGCAAGGAAAACTCCCACATTTACTCTACTATAGTCAAGCAATTGCACTTCTCCTCCATAGGACATATATAATCAGGTAATATGATCACAGTATTTTTATAGGTAACGGTTCTCGTGGTAGTGCACGATATTCTAACTTGAGTGAACTTCAAAAGCCAGAAGGAAGAAGTTCACATAACTAAAAGATCGCTAATTTGAATACTCACTATGGAACTGTATTTGATTTCACAGAGCTGATATCACAAAAGTACGAAAAAAGACCTATTTGGACAAAAATACTGCAATTTTCGTCTAGACTGCTGCCCCTATAAGTGGATTGACATTAGGAAACGGAGGAGAAATTTTCAGAATGGATGGCGCATCACGTGACGTACGCGTCATCGAAACTTGCCGTCCTCCCTTCATCCGCTCTCCTCCGCTTGCGGCATGGATGAAAATGCGTCGCCGCTATTTTGATCCGTTCCTTTGCCGGTCGTCTTCGCTTGATCGAGAGGATTCAGCGTCAAATCTGTCAACGTTGGTAGGATGGGCGTGGCTAAGAAGCAGGCTGCCGGATAAAAGCCACGTGTTTCAGTTTTGTGGCAATGACCAAGTGTGTTTCGTGTCACAGCGGAAGAGGCGAGTGGCTTTTCGTCACATAAGCGCACTGCATAAGCCTAAGAGTCGAGAGCATGCACGAAGATTCCGCGAGCATAGATCCGGCTGTGTGCATGCGACATCTCCGCTGCTGCGCCACATTAAACTAATCACTTGACTATTTGGTGCGTAGAGTAGCGGCATTAACCCCTCATGTGTGAATATAACGTATAGAGCATAAAGAGACAAATCTGTTTGAGAGTCTGCGTTTTATTTCACTGCTTCTGGCACAGCTTGTTCCATTGAGGAAAGTCTTGGAACTTTCTAATATATTCCGAAACATCGCCTACACACACCCGTTCTGAACCTGCCTCGGTCAATACAGCTTTGTCCACGCACTTTTGTGCTCTCGATTACGAATAAACGTTAAAAACAGTTTCTAAATTTGATAGTTCTGCGCAGGTACTAAAGCATACGTGGCTTGTTTTCGTCACCCTCGGAACCATTGTGTCTGAGTGGCACTGCATGCATGAGCGGTGCTGCATCGCCACCGATTGATGGTTGGTTTAGAGAAAGCATGCTCTTGCTACGACAATGCCGCAAAGCACGGAACTTCATTCGATTGATCTAAAAAACTCACGTGGGCCTGAGACTAAGTTAATTTAATTAAATACTCACTACTCAAAATTCATTTCAACTGAAGGGTTTTTGCATACCATTCACAAGAAAACCACGAATTTTTTTTTTTGCTAAAGGTTTCCTTTCATGAAATATTCATTAAAGTGACGTTTTTTCAAGTGAATGTTCACTTTGTTGCTCTTTACTAGGTGTTAGAGGTTTGCCGAAAAATCTCTAACTCCTAGATATGCTTTCCGCAACTTGAAACAAGTACAAATAACTATAGCAGTGTGCAAGAAAAGCTAGCGTCAATTGCAAAAGAACTTTGTCAGTTAGAAAAATGTGAAGAATAGCTAATAGAGCCCGAAGCAACGTTCAGATGGACGAGACAACTAGTGAAAGAACTTTCGAGTAAGACTGATGACCTTAAAATTCAAGTAGAAGAAACAACTGGATGATATTCAGTTTAACTTAATTTGAAATAAGGATAGCGAATCTCTGCAAGACAGCACAACAAATTTTTAGGGACTCATTCCGCATAAAAGTCAATTTATCGAATGCATGCATCCACAGAGTTGGCTTGAAAACGTGGTGGGAAATGTCGACGAATTATGTTGAGGCTCTTCAATTTTTTTGCGAGAAGGCGACAATAGTGTCAGCTAGCTTTAAGCTGAAAGCAACACATATTTTCATATCTGAAGATTTTTCTAAAAGCGTTCGTGACATACGACGTAGAGAGTGGCATTCAGCAACAGAAGTAAAAGCCAATGGATCAAAGGGTTCAATCTTTTTTGAAAAAGTGAAAGTAGATGATAAGGTTTACAATTGCACTCTGAAAAAAAAAGAGCGAGTAAAAACGGTGTCGTTTTGTCCCACAAAAATAAGCGTCATCTATATTGCGTTACATCCTTGCGCTATCGCCCCACGCCTGGTACATTCCGGTCATTATCGACATGCCAATTATTAGGGTTACATTGCATTCTCGATAGGAAAGTGGCCAGCGCCAAGTTTTCAAGAAAAGAAGCGCATGCAATCATGATGACGATTATTGTTGTGGGACAAAAAGACACCTTTTTTACTCGATATTTTTTACAGTGTGGAACAAACTTTCATATAAACGACTAGAAGTTAAACGGCGTGATGCACAGGCTCGACAGGATTCTGGTTATTCTGCAACTACTCGAGTGAACACTAGAAGCAGCAGTAGGAAATTACAGCTTGCGAGTAAACTTGTTAGAGTTGTTTCACTCAATGTGCGCACCGTTGTTAATAAAGTCAGTTCTCTTGAAGACGTAATCTCCTGTTATAATCCACACGTCCTAGTAATCGCTGAGACATAGCGACATGCCGACGTGCAAGATTTGGAGGTCGCACCGTCTACTTACAAGCTGATTCTTAAAAATAGGAAGTCACGAGGGAGAAGACTGCGTATTGCCATTTAAAAAAACCACGAGTTTACTCTTTTGGATGGCATTAAAACCATGAAAATGTGTGTTGTATACTGAAATTTTTTGGCAGAAGTATTTTTTAGGGGGCGTGTATCAACCACCAAATTTTTCGCCCGAATACTTAGAACCCATGCAGGACTATCTTCTAGATACTACGTATCACGATCCCTGATTAGATTAACAGGAGATTTCAAGCGGCCAGGTGTAAACTATGCTGATTGTTCGCATGGTGTCAAATAATCTAGAAGTTCAGAAATGCTGATTACAACCACGTAGAACGTCTGCTTACAACTACTACTTTGTGAGGCAGCAAGGGTTGACAGTTCATCGTTCTCTCTCCTTGATTCGGCATTCGTTATCAGCTCATTTGAAAATGCTTCCGCGAGTGCTGAGAAAAGTATATCCAGTCACAAGCTGCTTGCTTTTTAATCTCTTGTTTCAGGTACATGTTCATTTACTAGGTGGTTGGATTCTTTCGTCAGAGATTACACTCATGCAGATGATAACACTTTATAAGGCTATTAGGAATAGAGCTGATGATATAAGGAGTTTAACGTCCCGAAACCATCATACTTCCTCCGAAAGCTTTGTCCACCTTAGGTGAAACGGAGCTTTGATTTTTTTTCCAAGTTAATGACGTCAATCTAATGTCATCAAAATTTAGAATAATTTTCCTGTTTTGTGAGCGACAATATGGGCAGCTAAAAATTGATTGATTGATATGTGGGGTTTAACGTCCCAAAACCACTATATGATTATGAGACACGCCGTAGTGGAGGGCTCCAGAAATTTAGACCACCTGGGGTTCTTTAACGTGCACCCAAATCTGAGCACACGGGCCTACAACATTTCCGCCTCCATCGGAAATGCAGCCGCCGCAGCCGGGATTCGAACCCGCGCCCTGCGGGTCAGCAGCCGAGTACCTTAGCCACTAGACCACCGCGGCGGGGCCAGCTAAAAATTAAATAAATTATAAGTAATACCCTTGTTTCAAGCGAAATTATTAAATCGAAAGTAAAAATAAGCATAGGCGCAAACGCCGAAACAGTAATGACCTTTCAACCTCACTTCTAAGCTGCGCGAACTAATGCGATTGGTAAAAGACAGTTTTTTGCGGTTACATTACTGTCATTCGTGAAGAAAGAACCCGGAAAATTCTGTCACTAACTGTCAAACGATAAACAAGGCATTTCAAAGATCACAGTCGCTGCAGAACGTATTGTTGAGGCGACTGCCATGGCCGATATATTTAGTGTCTTTTTTCAGTTCATTTAAAAACTTGTAGTACGGACGAATCACGAAAAAACTTTCCTGCAGCCACTTTGCCACATTACTGCCCACAAGTTCGCTCTCTTTCCTCGCGCTATTTCTCACAGGAATGCGTTTTCTGCAGAACCAGTAAATGCTGCTTCGACGACTTCATTTATGGAACACATGAAAAGTTGAAGTTTTTTATAAAAGTGATGATTTTTAAAATAATTTGTGTCGTGTATGATTTAGGTGAATTGTGTTCATTTGGAAAAAAAATGTTTCAGTCTGTGTCTCTCAAGAATTCGTGTGTAGTAAACATTGATATTATTTTCCACTTGTGTATCTATCATTTGTACGTTATTTGAATTATGCCAAGCTATTCAGTGCACAACTATACAAGGTTCGATTGTATTCTTGTATTTCACTCCTGCATGGCTCCGAGGAGGGCCTGCAGTATCTGTAAATAAAATATTATTAATAATGAAGCAGCACAGTGAGCTCTCACTAGAGCGAACTTATGGATCAGTGGGAGTGATAACTCGCCTGCTCGGACCCGGGAGTACACCTCGCGATTCTAGGTCAAGTCCAGCAGGCGGCTAAGTCCAGTGGAGCCCTGGACATAGGGCCTCATTTATAAAAGCTCTCAAAACTCGCTTTCCCTTTTCGCCTTGAAAGAAGTTTCACACACACACACACTCTTTCTCCCTGACTATGCTGCCTCGAGCTATCATTGTCCTCCTCCCGCCACGCAAGTTTTTTTTTTCTCTTCCTTGATGTAACCTCTCCCCCTTTTCTTTTTACCTTACTTTTTTCTTCTAAATTATCGAGAGTGTGCTCAGCGTACGCATTGCGTCACGTTTCCTGATGATCTCGTTCAAATCAAACTAGCAACAGGCAACTCTGACGTGAACGGTATCGGTGAGTAGCAAAAACTATAGACTCCCGAAGAGCAATTTTAGCGAGCTAATAGAATACAAACTTCATGGTGCCATATTAAAATCTAAGAGGATCTAGGGTAACATAAGAAGAATTCTTCAGTAATGAACAGCAGTCCACACCGTCCATTTTTACACCATATCGCACAGAGCCAATAATTTTTCGTAATATCTCCTCACGTTATGAGAACCCAGTTCCAGCTGCTCACTGGGTAATCAATTCAGACTAGTCACGCCTTCTACGCAGAAAATGCATCATATCCTTCAACTGAAACAGTAGGAAATGTTTTTTGGCCGAAAATGCAGTACATAGCCCTAGTGTTTTCATTTTTTTTTCATCCAGGATTCAAGATTTGTTTGCATAAACTGCCAGGAGTGGGAGTGTACCTTCAGTGCTTTGTTTGCTACAAAGAGAAAGTTTAAAATTTGGCACTATTGCGAGAAACATCGTATTGTTTGTCACTCTCATTGCAGAGGACATCATACCGGGTCATACAATCACGATGTCATCTTACGCGGGAAAGCTCATTTCCTGGGACAATTTTTACCTGTCGTCAACAGGTCTGGTGAGTGATTACTCTATTACGGAAGGAAATTGAACACAATGAACACAACGGCCTATAATATTAGTGTTTGTCCCCTTGGCATCTTTTCAGCACACAAGAGGGTTCCATAAAACATAAGTACCCGTGCGTGACGTTTCTTACAGACTTACTGTCCGTCTGTTCTTCATTAACTGCACCGATTATGTCGAATGCTTTATAAGTGTTTTATGCCCTTGCTCCAAAAAATTACGCCTTATTTGATTGGTATAGGTACTAGGTCATCAAGGTTTAACCCTCAATGATTATGCAGATGTATTTACTGTAGCCACACATAACGATTCCATAATTTCTATATTGCTGGCGCTAGCAATCATCCCCGCGGCATGATTTGAAAAATTTACCATATCGGAAAACTTTGAAAAGCCTCATTTGGCAACATCTGAATTTTCTGATCTAAATTACCCTTGTAAAAATTTATGGTGCTCCACTGGAAGGGCGAAAATATTATTCACGAGACCATGATGCCGAGTCCCCCCCCCCCCCTGAACTTTTATCTACACAGGTCTGGTCTGGCACAGTCTCCCCTATGCCTCCACTGCCACTAGATTGAATCTCTGCATCATTGCCTCTTGACATACAGGTTAACAGAAAAACAAAGAAAAACACCTTTAAAAGAACATTTCCGGAGGTTGCCTTTAAATTTATGCCTTTCGGTGGTCCTTTCTCTCGGAGCAACTGAAATGTGTTTTAGCCACAAGGACGTTTACGAAGCCGTATGTGATCTTTAAATAGAAACCAAACGAATTGAATGTCAAGCTTAGGCAAAAGCTCACTCTAATTTCAAGCATATCAGTCTGTTGGCCTTTGTTTTATACTTAATTTAGTCCAATTTAGCCCATGTTTTAACAGTTCTTTTAAAAATACCATCTCTATCTAAACGTAGTTGGTTGATAAAACAATTTTATTTCCAAGATATGAAAAGCCCGCTTTATGGCCGATTCCTCGTGGTGGGTTGCACCAGGCATCTCAGGGCCAACCAACAAACCAACTTTTCGCTATCTGCTTGGAGATACATTAAAATATAAGCAGTGTTATATTTAAAGGACATATGAAGGAAACAGAATAAAAATAAAGGGATCCTAGAAACGCTCGAGCTTAGATAGCTAATTCATTTCAATGTAGGGCACGCGTTTGAATGCAAAGTAGTTGTAGTCTCTTGCGGCGTTTCGAGGCTATATATTTTTTTGTTCAGTTAAAATAGATGGCCGATTCACCAATCCGAACTTCGCTTGATGGTCCTTTGATATTGGTACCCCCCGAAATAGAATACATATTGTCGATCCCATATTAAAAATTAGCTATTTATACCAATATGCATGAAAATACTACTAAATGAACAGACTATCAGTGCCTGAGATATATCTGGAAACACGAGTGGTGTTTACCTGGAAAGTTACAAGTTTTTCATGACCAAATTTTCATGACGCGCCCCCCACAATACTTTTATTTACACAGAGCTGGTCAGGCAATATGTCCCCTGTGCCCATTCTGCGAAGAAACAGAAACAATTGAACAATTATATCATGTCGGAACTATTCAATAATTAGAAAAAAATTTCTAGTTATTCTCTTTCTAGCAGTAGGTTCAAATTTATCTGCAGATAATGTTCTCAATTTTGGCACCTCCGGTTTTTTACGGTGCAACAAAACGTATTTTATTCAGTATGCAACTTTATTCAAGAATCTAAACGCAAGTCATTACAACGCTAGGTTTACTATATTTTCGACAAATACTTGTGATATAATTGATAGTGTGACCGAATTGCGGATATACATTCATTGTTAATCAGGTCAGGTAAACTTAATTGTCTCGCCTATTCAAAACTTGAGTCTTTCTATATAGTATTAGCTCACTTTTTATGTCATTGATTCGTCCTTATTTTATTACTATCTTATTTTTGAAATAGTTTTGCTCTTTTTGTTATTCCTTTGTTCTAACAATGGGCTCACAATAAATGTATCATATATAGGTTACTACAAGTTTCCACGGCCAATCCCCAGAGTGGGTATGTGTGAGTGCTCACAGGCAACAAATAAACAAACAAACAAACAGGCAGACAAGCTCAATCCCTAGCAGCATTGACGTCGTGAGTCATCTCACAATCATAGGTACTCGCCCAAATTCTGTCTCAAGTCGTTACTTTTCAGTTGAAGTCCACCATTTTTCGCGTTGAAAACAGATGAACTGATGAAAGTTGTAGCCTGTCGTTTACATGCTAGCTGGATTTGTCACAGTAAACCATTCCTTGGTTCCCTTGGTAGATCGCATTGTAGCGCACTAAAAAGATATCAATGATAATGAAAATGAATGCTCGAGTTTTGTAAAAAAAAAGTTTCAGTGTCTGGCATACTGCTCGACAATTTGCATGGAAAACATAGAAATCTCAGTGAAACGAAACACACAAAGGCCTATACCGCCATCGGCATAGCACATATAACTGCGAAATACCGTCGCAGTTACGATTTCATATAGGCCCTTCTATATTCAGGAAGGAAACAATTGCATTTGAAGCACGCATAGTGTAGCGAAAGCCTCGCTTCTTATATGTTCATGATTATTTCGTCGTTTCAAGCTTTTATCACAATATAAGTGCAACGCAGCATTCAAATGTTCGATCGATATGTGGGGTTTAACGTCCCAAAACCACTATATGATTATGAGAGACGCCGTAGTGGAGGGCTCCGGAAATTTAGACCACCTGGGGTTCTTTAACGTGCACCCAAATCTGAGCACACGGGCCTACAACATTTCCGCCTCTATCGGAAATGCAGCCGCCGCAGCCGGGATTCGAACCCGCGCCCTGCGGGTCAGCAGCCGAGTACCTTAGCCACTAGACCACCCCGGCGGGGCGGCATTCAAATGTTGGTTTTACGTTCAGTAACAAATGCAGCCATTATAAATAGGCAGCAAATAAGGCTCACAAGCAGCAAGCCCTGGTGAGGCTAACAGGGAGAGTGTCTGTCTATGTTGGCAACGTTCAGCCTTTATGCTGATATCACCTAATGATATCTCACTAGATGTTCAATTCGCTTTTTCGGTCGCCTTTATGACCGGGTCAGTGCTGAAGTTTCACTTCTTCAAAGACAGACCTAATCACATTTCAGCTAGCGTGACAGTATTCAAAAACCTCTACCGAAAAAATCAAACTGTCGGTGCTGTTGGGCCGCTGCCTTGCCGGCCACTGCTGACAGTCGTCATTTTCCGAGAAGCAAGATTTCTAAGCTGGGTGCAACGACCGCGAAGCAACATTTCTGTGTGGTATGAACAATAAAGTGCGCGGTGCAGCGATATCATGCTTATCTCGTCAGATCGGACTCTCCCGATCCAAGTGCGACATGAACTGATAGCGAGCCATCGACTCCAAAGCAGCCAATGACACACCACGTGGTCCATTGACGACCGGGTATATTTTTTCCCATTTATTTTCCATTTCCATTTATTGCATCCTTAAAGGCCCGAGGGCATTACATAAGGGGGGGCAAAAAATACGCTGTGAATGTGTATAATTCAAGTTGAACAAATTATTATAAACAATACAGTTCTAATATGGTAGTTTGGTCAAAAATGACAACAAAAATGAATCAAATAACACACAAAAGAAACGCTTTGGCTGGGAATTAGAGTACAAATAACTAGGCACAAGCAAATTATACATACAGTGCATTGGTAGAATATATTTACAGCCACGGGTTAATGGGTGGAATCAAAGTGGGATTCCAATTTTGCGCGGAATGATGTGCGGTCAGGTGTGGCAACAATGGTATCGGGAAGGTGATTCCAAAGTGTTATTGCTTGGGGGAAAAAGGAGTCATTCATTGCGGATGTACGGCCGTTGATTCGTGCAATGGGGTTTGAATGGTTAATGCGGGAAGAAGTTCTGTTTGGGGGCTGTAAAAGTTCGTGTCTTGATTGGGGTCGGAAAAAGAAACTGTGGAGGAGGCATAGGCGCGAGATGAGGCGGCGCGACGCGAGTGATGGCAGTTCAATTGATTGTTTTAGGGCGGTGACGCTGATTTCTCTGGAGTACTGTGAGGTTATAAAGCGGGCAGCGCGGTTTTGAACTGCTTCTAGTTCGCTAACGAGGTATGCCTGGGATGGATTCCAAATGGACGATGCGTATTCGAGCTTTGGCCGTACGTATGTTAAGTATGCTAGTTTTTTAACGTCAGGAGATGCTGATTTGAGGTTACGGCGCAGAAAACCAAGCGTACGCAGAGCGTCTGAGCAGATGGACTGTACGTGCGGTGCAAATGAAAGAGATGGGTACATGTGCACTCCGAGATACTTGTATGACGAAGCCGAATCGAGAGGAAGCGAATTGATAAAGTATGTATGATGAACAGTGGTGCGTTTACGAGAAAATGACATCGATTTGCATTTGGTTAGATTTAACGGCATTGATGAGTCTTGACACCATAGCGCAACTGTGTCGAGGTCTTGCTGTAGTTTAGTACTGTTTTCAAAGTTGTGAATGGGGGAGTATATGACACAGTCATCCGCAAATAGTCGAAGTTTTGTTTGAATGTTTGTTGGCAGGTCGTTTATGAATATTAAAAATAGAAGAGGTGATAAGCCCGCACCCTGAGGGACGCGTGATGATACGTGAGTTTTAGAGGAGTTATGATTATTAGCAGAGGTGAATTGTTTACGGTTGGAGAGGAAGTGTTTAACCCAGGAGACAATATTCTGTGCAATGCCAAGGGAATTAATTTTGCTAAGTAATAAGTTGTGTGGTACACGATCAAAAGCTTTGGAAAAGTCTAGGAATATGGCATCAATCTGCAGGTTATCATCCATGCTTTTTAGTAGGTCGTGGGTAAACTCGGCTAATTGGGTCTCGCATGAGAAGTGCTTTCGGAAACCGTGCTGGTGATTATAGAAGAAATTTATTGATTCAAGGTGAGTCACGATCTGAGAAGATATAATGTGTTCTAGTAATTTAGAGGGAATGCTTGTCAGGG